TGAGAGCTCTTGCGCTCTCTGGAATACATCCTTAAAGACCTGCCAGCTCTGTTGTGTTCCCCTGTCCCTGAGGACCGTTTCCCAGGGAGTCCTTCTGACTATCTCCTTGAAGAGCTGGAAATTTGCCCTCCTAAAATTTAAGAGTCCTGACTATGCTCTTCGTTATTCCCATTTCCCTCAGTAGCGTTAGTTCCACCAGCACGTGGTCACTGCAGCCCAGGCTGCCTCCGATCTTGACGTCTCCAATGAGCTCACTAGCATTGGTGACCACCAGGTCTAGTATCGCATCCCCTGGGGTAGGGGTGCTTATTACCTGGCTTAAGAAGTTGTCCTCAATAACATGAAGAAAGGCTGAGGGAGCTGGGCTTGTTTATCCTGAAGAAGAGACGGCTGAGAGGGGATCTTATAAATGCTTATAAATATCTTAAGAGTGGGTGTCAGGAGGACGGGGCCAGACTCTTTTCAGTGGTGCCCAGCGACAGGACAAGGGCACAAACTGAACCATAGGAAGTTCCAGCTGAAGATGAGGAAGAATGTCTTTACTCTGAGGGTGACAGAGCACTGGAACAGGCTGCCCAGAGAGGTTATGGAGTCTGCTTCTCTGGAGATATTAAAAACCTGTCTGGACACGGTTCTGTGCAGCCTGCTCTAGGTGACCCTGCTTGGGCAGGGGGTTTGGACTAGATGATCTCCAGAGGTCCCTTCCAACCCCTACCATTCTGTGTGATTCTGTGTAAGTCACGATTCTTACTTTATGCAAAGATTGTTACGCATTTCCTCTACAGCGTAAGGAGGCTTTAAATAAAAGCAGGCTCTTTTTTGTTTTCTGGAATGCCTGCCTGTCCTTTTAGGGCAGTGTAAAACAAACTTACTGTGACTAGGAATCACATCTCATGTGGTAATATTCCCTGCACTTTCCAGTACTTCAGATTAGTCTGAAACCCAGTCATAAGTGGCAAGCTGTGTGGAAGAGTTGCACAGCAGCAAGTGGTGGATGAGAATACTTGGCCAGCTCTGTCACAGTTCCTGCTACAATTTTATTGATGTTTGAAAGGGGGCAGAGCTTAGTCAGAGCATTCTCTGCAGGAAGGCAATTTGAAGCACAAGTCAGTCTAAGGAACCGTGTGTTGGCTCCTGTGCCAAGATGTGTGGTACACAGGTGTGGTTTGCTGCTGGCTCTGACTGCTTTCTGAGTCACATAATAGTACTTGTCTTTCTTAAATATTAATACTTTCTAACGTCGTGACCACAGAAGGTTTCTGAGTATGTGGTCCCGATTATACACAGTTGCTCAGGACTTTGGATCTACCTGTACCTTTTTTCTCCAAATTGTGGATGGAGCTGACTCCCATCTGGAAACTCTGCACTGAAAATAAATAAGTAAGGAATGGGTTTTTCCGAGAACTTCAGCCATAACTTACTTTTAGCTCTCCTGAAGTCCACTCTAGGTCTCCTCCCTGGGGGCTGATAAGCCAAGTGAGTTCACTATTGAGAGGAGATTCATGCAACCTAACTGAAGTGTCTGGTTTCCCTATATGAGAGGCATCTCCAGGTAGTGTTTAGGTGTGATAAATCCTGCTTTGAAACCGCTCACCTTTTCGCATCAGCAATACAAGGAGCTTGGACTAAACTGGGTCCTAACTTAAATGCCTTAGGTGGGTTCCAAAGGTGAGCTGGAGTGTCTGTCCCTCAGCCTTTCAAAAACTCCATGTGAAAAATTAGTGTCTTTTTGTTATCAACATCCAAGCATTTATTTTGACCTGTTTTAAAACTGAATCCTCATGTTTTTCTGGCTCTGAAGGCAGTACTGCCTTATGAACATCTTATTAAAGATACTACCCGCACTAACTGCTCCACATCCTTCAGTGTGTTTGTAACTTCATAGCTGATAGGCTCTGGCTTAGTAGTACACTTACCCACACGCACAAAAATAAGCATGGCTCATTTTGCTGGAGGTACACTCACTCTTGAACACCCTGATGAATTAGGCCTGTATTAGTTGTACCAATCTCCTGCCTCAAAATGCTTTTCTTTTTTTCTGACAGCTACAGGAAACTCCAGGTAGCTCTCTGTCAGCTGCTTCTGCCTCCAATCCTGTCTGTTTTGATATGGGACCACTGTTTAACTATAGTTAAATGCAAGTCTGCTCGCGTATTTTTTTCATTAGGGGTCCAGCTTTGTTACACAACATGAGCTTTGTGTAGGAGGGCCTTCACAGGAGGCTTTCCAGGGCAGAATGGAGACTGGGGCTGTTAAGGTCCCCTCTTCTTTCACTATCATCAGTGTGTGCAGGAGAGTCTGTTCTGCATTATGCAGAGCTCACGTGGGCCCACACCTAAAATACTGGCGTCAGTCTCTCATTTTCTGAGTAGCATAGTGCCAATTTTTGATTTGAAGAATAAGGATTTAGCTTTCATAGAAGATGACCCAGATGCTATTAGTTACCATAGTAGCAGTTGAAATGACTACCTGAAAATAGGTTTATTGTGAGGCATATTTTGTATACCATTTATGGAAAAGTAGGATAGCTTGTCAAAATACCCAAAGATAATTACTAAAGAACAATAAAATATGTCTTTCTGTTATCTTCTTTTCTAAACCACTGAGTGCAATATATTCTTATAATGAACTCTGGTGATTTAGGCTTCTTCGTATTGTGTCTTGGGCACTTTCCAGAACTTTAATCTCATTATTCTTGTGAGTCTTGGGAGATAAGCAAAAGAAGAATACTTGTCAGATTTCCTGATGACTTAATGAATATAAAACAATGATACGTAGCCCATCGTTAGATTCAGGTTGTATTAAATACAGGATTTCTCTGTAAACTGACTGTGTATGTAAAACTGTCTCCACAAAACCAAAGACTGTGTTTAAGTCCTCAGAGAAATCCTGCTTGCTAGTTTTTTTCCATTGTTAATTTCAATACTTTTAATTTTTTTTTGTGGCAACCAAAAATGTGAAACTGTTTTATTATGAACTCAGTGTTAGAGAAGATTTTAAAATAACAGTAGTAGTCAAGAGCGTAAATGCTTCCAGTTTGTTCAGAGTACTTTAGATCACAGAGTCCTAATAGTAGGGGTTGTTTTACATCTGTTTTTGTAATACACTGTAGTGTCCTCAGTGGCTTTGTTATGCTGTGAAGCAACTTCGTTTATGTAACTTTTTTCACAATTTAGCTGCATTCTTTATAATCTTTTTTATGATTGTCTTTACATTGTCTTCAGCAGCAGTAATAGTTCATCTCCTAGCCTAGCTGAGAACCTCTAGCAAAGCTGCTGTTACTTCTCTACAGGTCAAAGAGATTGTGGCACAGCACACGAAAGAGTGGTCTGAGATGATCAATACGCACAGTGTCGAAGAGCAAGAAATACGTGATTTACACTTGAACCAACAGTGTGAACTACTGAAGAAACTGCTGATTAATGCTCACGAACAACAAACCCAGCAGCTAAAATTTTCACATGACAGGTGAGCAGGGCAGTGCTACCTGACAATGAGGGTTGGTTTATGTCTGCTTTGTATAATGTTTTATTGTTGTTATTTTAATTATTATTATGTGTTGATAGCTCCTGTACTGCTGTCAAAGATACTGGGCTGTATGCATGGTAGAAGTAATGAAGGGATCATGCGAGGTTTTGGTAGATGCAGGAATGGGCTTCTTAGCTGGTTTAGATTATCTGAATTTCATTAAAGGCAGCGGATGCGATGAAGTAGTAGTTTGCATCAGCTGTGGATGCTTAGACTTTACTGAGGAACTCAATTCAGGGGCTGGAAACTGGGAAGTATCAAGTATGGAGATATCCTTTGGAGTTGCTAGCAGTTGCGGATGCATGTGTTTATAGCATTGGTGATTATAAGAAAGATCCACGAAGAGCAAGATCATAAAAACAACGGGTAGCAGGATAAGCTACATTAGACTGACATTGTCTTAATACAGTATCCTGTTGTAATCACTGGGAATACAGAAGATACTGCATGACACTGCTGTCTTGTTGCTTTTGTAATTAACTGTCTTGCTTATTTGAAATAACATAAAATGAAATACACATCGTATCCATGGTGTTAAAAATGGCAGTAAGTAGAGGAATCATTTTTTTATGCTATGATCTGTTATGCAAAGCAGCCTAAAAGCATATGAATGCAAATGTGCATGTACATACATCATATATATCGATACATATATATTCATATGTAATTGTCTTCAGCATCTTTCACATAAAAAACATGGTGAAAAAGGAATAAATAAATCACATTTGAAGAAGGAATTGAAATGATTTTTTAAATTCCTGAGTGAAACAACAGCTTATCTTTGTATCAGAGAGAACACATGCTGGGACCTGCAAGCTTTCCATCCAACAGAGAGTTTTCCCAGCAAAAGGCTTTTTGTGAGCTCATCTTTATGTTAATCTCTGTGTTAACCCATCTATTTAAGCTGTGCTGCAATACATACCCAGTCAAAAATGAAGTCCAGAAATTGTTAAATTATAATACAAATGCATCATTCAAAAGATAGTAGCCAGAGGAAGGTGCCATCCTTGGTACTCTATCTCTAATTCATACCTGACTGCATCAGCCCAGAGAAATCCCCATCACTTTTTTTTGAGAGTCCTGTTCTCTGTCCTATTTGAAATTCACTACAGTGCTTAGAAGATAATTTACCAATGTGTAACCTGTTTGTGGAGTAAGACTTCCTTCCCCTCATCTTTTTGAAAGTAAGTTTTTGTTTTCTTTTCTGTACGTATTTTATTATTCCTGTAACTTGGCTACAGGCTGTCATTGTAGGCAGCTGTTACATCTACACTAGGACAAGATTTGGTTTTGCCTTTTTTTTTAAGCTTTTTTTCTCATAGTGTTTGTATTTGGGTTTAGAATTTCTGTATCTCTACATTGTTTAAACAGTCTTATATTGTTTCTTCTAAATAGTTCTTATGTTCTTATTAATGGATCTTGCTCCCTTACTAGAGATCATTTGTGTTCAGTCGATGTATTGTTCTGTTTTCAGAGCTACTAAGAACCAGACCTCAAAATCTACATCCTGATAAATGCTGAGAACTTTTTCTTCTCAGCTTTCCTAGGAGTAACAACCGTCAAAATTCTTTCTGCTTTATTCATTGCAATTAGGGTGTTTCTGCTTATTTGTGTGTAACCCCCAAATGTGCAGACTGGGGACTTTTGTGTTTGAAACTAATTTAAGACTCTGTCTGAATCTGTGAATATTTCAGAAGAATTTGGAATGTCAAATACTGAAATGTGAATAATAATGCCCCAAAGAGACTTTACACTTAATCAGCTGTAAACTTTTGTAGAGTATAGTGTATCTAGAATATGTATGCATTTATCTGTATAGGTGTATGTAACAGCCAAGAGACAACTTGGGTAACCACAGGAAAAAAAGAATCTATCTGAAAGCAGTGTGGGAGGTGGACCATGCCCTCAGCATGCTGTTCTCACCACTTCCCTCTCTGTGAGCTGAGGTAATGAGTTAGCTATCACAACAGAGGACACAGGGGTAGTAGGAAAGATCAGTAATCTAAAGTGATGTAGTTGTCTGCTGTAGGGTGGATACTTTCCCCCCCATGTGCAGTACAAAAAGCAGTTACAGTTTGTGCTTCGAGCTCATTTAAAAACAAAGCAGAAGACAGCAGATACTACTAAAAATCTGAAGCTTATTGAACTCCGGGGATGCTGTGCCCCCTGCCACCCCAGACTGCGTTAGCTTGACTGACTTGGATGTAGTGAGCTTGCAGCATTTCAGAAACTGGGGATGTGGAGGTGTTATTCGCAAGCATTATGTACTCCAGATAAAATAACATGAGAGAGAAAGAAAAATTATGTGTGGTTTGGGTTTTCTTTTTAGTAGAAGAGATTTCTAGTCATTCAAACAATACTGGTGACATAAAATAACATGTTAATGCACTTCAATGTTATCTAAATATATGTATAAGTTCCAGGCATAGACTTACATGCTTGAAGTGAAGTATCCCTTTAAAAGACATGTTTGTACAAATTTGAGAGTTGCAGTCAGTATGATACAGTAGGAAATGAGCTGTTAAATCTTGCAGCTCATGTGCCGCGTTTTTCAGAATCCTTTTTTTCTTTACTATCCCGCCGTATCTACTTCTTCCAGTTAACTGGCTACAGGCATCACCACTGCTTGTGAGCGGGAGGGAGTTCTCTAATGGTGGCGTAGCGCTGCCAGCCAGGGCAGCACGGGCTGAACTGGAGACTTGATGTGAAGCCCCACGCCAGGCGGTTTAGCAGTGAACTGACACTAGAACTTTGGCCCTGTCTTTGAGAAGCACTGTTTTAGAAATGAAGAGTGGTCCCTACAAGTGCTTCTTGGTGGTTTTAAAAGGAAGATCAGATTTTTCATTTCTTCTGTTAATAATCCTTTTTATTTCTTGCAAGCTGCGAAAACCCAACACACCCAGAAAGACTCAATAGCAGTGCAGCTCAGAGCTACATTATAGTTAGCAGAATAAACAGTTGCATATAAGTGTGTTGGCTATTTGAACCATATCCATGGCCAAAACCTCATTTTGAAATCATCCATGATGCACAGTAGTCCTCTAATCCTCTTAACTTCTTTCACTCTAAAATTATATCTGATGCAAATAGGCTAAATCAGTTTGAACACCTACACTTAACTTCTTTTATATCCTTGAGCACAGTAATAAAAACAAATTATTTCAATACTGCTCTTAAGGTAGTGTGCTTGAAAATTACTTCAGATTAAATATAGAAAATAAAAGCTTTTATTTGGAGAAGGGACTGTTGGAATGAAATGTGCGCTTGACACAACATGTTTTAGAATCCAGTCTGATTTTTGCTGTGATGCCACTACTTTTAAATCTATATTAAGGAAATGTTTCACATTATGAACTCTTGGAGGAAAAGAAGCGTTGCATTTCTTTAATAAAAATTTTAAACTGTGGAAAATGTAAGTCATGGAACAAAGTTTCCTCATGCTGCTTAATGATTAATGTCTTTTAGAGATGAAAGAAACCTAAAAAAGATTCAGTAACAACATTTCTGTTAAAGCTATCCCGTTTCACAGAAAAGGCTACAAGGTTTGTGGGGCCAGAAGTAGAAACCGAACACAAGTCTGACCATGGTCTAAACTGCAGGGCTCTTTTCAGGCCCAAAGTAGAAGTCTTAAAAGGGAGTCTGTCGAATCATACCACAACTAGCAAGTATTATTACTATTCATATTGCAGTCATGTTCTGAGTGCAGGATTTGTGAATATTTCAGGCAGTTTTAAAAGACAAATTGCATTTTCGGCTGAAAGTAGCTCATACTTGGAAAACTGATATACTAGGAAGAAAAGAGTATTTTATACTCTTTTATAACATTCAAAGTGTAAAAAAATGCTTTAAACTGATCTTTCAGATGATATTCTCTGGCACAAATGGAGATTTCTGAATGTTTGCTCAAACTGTATAAAGTGTGCCCAAAGGAAAGCAATTTTCACATGGTTTGTTCTTTCCTCTTCCTTAATGCTTCAAGGACAAAATTAACCACAGTAATATCAGGAAGCCAACCTCAACAACAGTTGCATCTTAGGCATTAATGGCTTTGTTTGGTTTTGCCTAGGGAAAGCAAGGAAATGCGTGCCAACCAGGCTAAAATATCCATGGAGAACAGCAAAGCTATAAGCCAAGACAAATCTATCAAAAATAAAGCTGAAAGAGAGAGGTAGGTATCAGCTCTCCCTTCTTGAGAAGGAAAGAATGCTGTCAAAGGCTGACAGGTGAACTCGTGGATTAATTCTATTAAAACCATGCCTTTATGTATGGAAACAAGGTCTAATGATTGTGCCAAATGTATTTTTAGATGACCATTTTTTGAAAAATACTGCTTTTCTCATGTTTATCCTTTTTATAAATATAGTGCCCTGATCAGGGAAATAAAACAGCTCTTAACTTTATGCTCCTGAGCTATGACTGAGTGCTGTAGGTCTAATTGCACTATTAAATTGAAACATATCTGTAAGAGTTTTAATGGTTGTGCTTGAAGTGCATGATACTTTTGTGCTGTTGCTTTTTAAATTAAATGAGGGCTATACTGTTTTCAGGGAGTCTGAGGTTTGGTTCTAGCTGGAGTTAGAATAACTGGAGAGGCAGCATCACTAAAACCACAGGAGGTGGTGCCAGTGAAAGGCTTTCTGCCTCCTCTACTGATAACACAGAGGAGAGGTGGAACAGAATGAAGGAGCGCTAAAAGTGATTATGATAAGCAGAGAGGGTGATGGAAGATAGGAGTGAAAAAGCAGGAGATGTACTCCACAACAGCACACGTATTGCTTCTCCACTCCTGAACTGAACTGCAGCTCCCTCCCTCGTTATGTGCTGGCGTTGGAGACCTGGCCACCATCCAAGCTCAGCAAATCAAGGGCACTGCTGCACTTGCAAAAGTGGGTTATTCGCAGCACGTTTGGTGATGACAGCCTTAATTGACTTGAGAGACTAGAGAGACACTTGCCAGTACCAGCTACTGAGACTTTTTGGAGGATTGATGTGCATTATAGCTATTCTAAGTTTCTTCTAGTTATCCTAAAAGTTTCCAAATAAACAGATGAAAAGCAGGGTCAACATGATGATGTCTGATAAGCCTTCAGGTTTTCCCCTTTGTTTTGGGCTTGTCAGTCTGGCTCATTCTTTCCTCTTTTACATTCGTTCCTTGGCACTGGGCTGTGTTGGTCAGAAGACTTTTAACTTGTTCCCACTGAACTCAGTGCCTTGACTGCTACAGGCTCCTAACTCATCAGGAAGACAAGTTGTTGGAGCCCTTGGTAACTGTGTGCTTAGTTAATGCAAGACCTCCACTAGTGACTCTGAGATAAATCTGTTCCCAGATTTGAAAGCAGTCTGAAGGCAGTTCTGGTTTTCAGGCTTTGTGATTAGTCTGATTCAGCTCTTTGAACTATTTTTGGTATATTTCATGATGGAAATCTTAGGAAGAGGTGCTTTCCAGTTAGGTATTTTACGTAAATACTAATTGTATCTTTATCTTTTTGCTTAAATAAGAGCTTTAAGAACCTTACAGCATTGGTGAGCTGTAACTTTACTTATCATCATCAGGCGAGTTTTCCATTGCTACTGTTAAGAGATGTAGCACATTTTATATACCAAAATACATTGGGAGCAGAGTGCAGTAAGGGATAGACGAATTAAACATTTTTTAAGTTCTGCTGTCCACCACTCTTGAGTAAGGGAAAAAGCGAACTTCATTCACAACAGTCTTGGTCTTTTTTTTTTTTGAAGTCTTCAGTCATACTGTCAATGTAATTGGAAACCTGAAGTGTACAGGTGCGTAGCCAAAGGATTGTACAATTTGACATTAGTCCCACATGGTACAGATGATCAGAAACCAAAATATACCTTATGAGTTTGTCATTCTCTCTGTTGTAGCTTTAGGGTTTTTTTTTTTCCAATGAGTCTTCATGGACAACTTTTGCATTTTTTTAGGCGGGTCAGAGAACTGAACAGCAGCAACACAAAAAAGTTCCTGGAAGAAAGAAAAAGGGTAACTATAACCTTCACAAAGTCACTGGGCATTGTTTCAGGATATTCATTTTCATTTCTCTGTGCTGAGAATCCAGCTCTAGTAAACAAACAGATGCTAGTCCTTGCTTTGTTGCACATACTTGTAGTGTAAAAGATCTAACATCTCTATAAGAGAAGCTATTTTACATTAACAAAATTAATATTCATTATTTTGTATTTTCTACTTTTATGTAATATATATGTAATATGTATAATATAAATATAATATTTTATTAATAGCTCTTTTTAAGATTGGGTGATATAATAGGCCTCCTGTGATGTCCTGTGCCATCTAAATGGGGCAAGATAGTGTATGTATGTGTATGATTCAAGTAAGTTTTTATTTTGCTTGTTAATAAGGTGTTACATTTCCCGCCATTATTTTCTCTCCCTTACAGCTGGCAGTGAAGCAGTCAAAGGAAATGGATCAGTTGAAAAAAGTTCAACTTGAGCATTTAGAAGTCTTGGAGAAGCAGAATGAACAGGTATCTTATTTTAAAGGCTTGAAAGAAAAGCAAGCTAGTGAAAACAGTAACCAGAATCAGGCTGAGTATAATGCTTCTACATGTAAGTCATTACCAGCTTGGGAAAATGACCTTGTTCGTGGTCACTCACCTACTTGGGAAGTTAAAATGAAGAAGTGAGGTGACTTAAATAATGATACAAAACCAGGTTTCTTTCAGATAAGCATGTGAAAGCTAGACTGCTTAGCCAGATTCTGTCCTTTCACCTGTTCAGCCACGTTGATACTCGTTAGCTAAATATGACAGTCATAAAAGCATATCCATTTTAATTAGTCCCAAAAAGTACCTCAAGCAAATCTGTCTCCTGCATTTTGGAACTTACCTTTCTAGTGCTGCTTGTGGAGAATGGAGGTGAAACATGTGCACAGAGTGTCTCTGAACTCGAAGAGAGTTAGTTTGGACTGAATTCATTCTAGAGATGTATGGTAGCATGGGGAATTTTATCTGTGCTAGTACACCCCTTCCTAATTAAAATACCCTATTATTTTCTGCTAGGTTATAAGCTTTTTTTTTTTTCCTTGGAAAAACTACTTGGCAAGGAGAGAAAAATTCTGATCTTCTTTCTGGTAGAAGCAACGCTATGTTCTGAGCAGTTCCCTTGCTGAAAGGTTGAGCCAGCAGAGCTGTAATAATTGCAGTACTGCACTTACACAAATGTAAAGTGCAAGGGGAATATATCCAGCAGTTCAGTGAGACGAAAGAGAAAGGGGTGCATTTAATACCCATTACTTTCAAGGGTTATGTACTTACTTCTTTGTTTATTAAATGTCCAGAACTTGAGCTCTCTGGCAGACATTATAATCTGAATTAAAGCCATCTTGCAGAGCGGGAGTGAAGAGAAGAGTGCATGCAAATCAAATACTTCCACTGTCAGGAGAGAGTCCTACAGCCCCAAAAGCTGCAGCCTGGTCAACTGCTAGGGAGGTGACAGCATGCAGGATCGCAAGCAGCTGCTACCACTTGAGCCCCAGCCACCATGGCTCTGTCTTCTGATCGCTCCACCTCCCGTCTGGACAACAACCAAAACTTCCTTGTCTGTTCCCTCACAGGGTTTCTGTAGACGCCATGTCTAACATCCAGCATGAATGGATCTGTCAGTCATTCTGCTCCTGAGTGATATCTGCACTTAATGAAAAGGCAGGGGAGGCAGGCACCTGGGGGAGGCAACTGGGCTACAGCAGAGTATAGCATCACTGTAGAAAGCGTGACAGAGAACTCCCTGCAAACTGTGCTAGTTGACAAAAAATGATGGGCTTGATCCAGAGATAGGTGTTATCAGTGGTTGCTTTCCATTGGCTTCAGAGGGCTTTGGAACAATTTTTTAACAGCATAAGGATGAGAGGGAATGATTATAGTTGTGGTTTTAACCACAATGTGATAAACACCTTATGTATAAGGGAGGGAGGTTGCTGGAAAATGAGTGTGAGTCATTAAAGGAGTCACCTGTTTCAGCAGTTAGATACTTCCCCCACCTGGGGTTACAGCTTCCACTGCTGAGAGATGGTAACAGCTTACATGAGCCTGCTCATACTCCATTTTAGTGCAGAGATGAAGCCAGCTTAAATCATCAATGATTAAACGATCATTCACGTGCTCGTTGTCACTTTTGTTGTGGGCATGTGGTGGCCTCCACCACAGGGGTAGTCCTTAACAGCTTTTGCATTCACTCTAATTTGGTCCAACGGAGCACATGTTTTCATACCTGCTGTTTTGACCACTTCCTTTTAGCCCCAAAAGTGCACCCATGCAAACCCCCAGCTAGGTCTGGTTTCGTTGTTATACACATTGAAGTATGAAAGCTAGTTGGATCAAGATAAAGGTGGTATTTCTTTAGTGAGAATTTCAAAGCCTGATTTTTTTTTCCCCTGATCAAACAAGAGAAGAGATTTTTCATACAAATATACAATGTAGAAAAGTAAGATTATGGGTGGAAACAGCCTTCAATACAAACTGTTATGAATTTAAATTTGTTTTGGTTTATGTATGTTTTTCTTGCATTAATTTTTCAATCTCACTTCAGTTTTCATTCATTTAATTTGCTTCTTGTTGTATTACTCAATTTTGACATTATTATTTTTGTACAAACAGCTTTTGAAATCCTGTCATGCAGTGTCTCAAACACAAGGTAGGACGGACGTATAAGCAAACTATTATTTCAGTGTGCTTTCCTTCTAAATTAAATCATTATCATTGGAGCTCTCCTTGTAAATGCAACCATTGGGAAGTACCATTAACATAGTGAACACAATGTTAATCTTGTTTGCACACAGATACTTGAGCCTGACATAATACTAACAGTATTTTGTGCTTTAGCATCCCAAATTCAAATGTGTATGAGCAGTGATGTGCAGAGGAAATATTTAGAGATGAACTTGTATTGTACATTACCTGTCGTTACTGAAAGATACGCCTAGAGTTCTAAACTGTGTCTGTGAGAAGTGTCTATTGAAAACTACTTTAGTGTTAGCATACATATGATTAACTGCTAATGCTGATAGACAGACAAGGAGTATCCACATATATCAATATGGTAATAAAACAAGTAATTCCATGCTAAGAGTAGCAAAATATAGAACAGATGGCTAGAAATAGCTTTTCAGTGTCTAGAGAAGAGAGGCTTCCAGTGCTTTAAAATTCACTTCAAAATCCAACACATTACAAGGTATGGCAATTATATTTACCATGTGCCTGTGCTGCTGTGGCTTCCTAAATAATCATCACTCAGAAGAAATCTCTGTTAACACTTGTCTTACCAAGGGAAATAGTTGTATTAGGCTTGAATGTCTAGTTGTACAGTATTGCCTGATGTGAATTATTTTCTTGAATTGATAACATACTTCTGTCTTGCTCCACTGAGTCTGACACCACCCGCTATAACAACATTTATTTATAGTCATATAATGAGGTAAAAAAGCATTCATTAGGCTGGGGGGGCGGAATTATTTTACTGTGTATGGTTCTTAGCCTGTCTTAGATCTCACTGGAGAGCAAGCATCTTGAAAGCAGAGTCCATTAGCTGCCACTCAATTCATGAATTCACTGCAGCTTCAACACTGCCTTCCAGAAGGCTTGTCTTGAAGCGTCGTGCTTGTGTGTTCAGGTCAGAATGCACTGTCTGAACCAACCTCAGACTAGTAAAAACTGGCATCCTGGTCCTATGCTAATGTGTTCTTTGAAACCAAGTTATCACTAAAATAATTCCGTACACCATATATTGGTATGCAGAATATTTATAGGACACTGTGTGCCAATAGTTAAGTCACAAGCTTAGAACACTGAATGTGTGAGTCACTAAGAAACAAACACAGCGTTTTGTTTTATCTGGAGTTTCATTTCACACACAGCCAAAATCCAGCCAACGTTTCAGAAGAGGTTGTACATATTGATTTATTTATTATGTTTCCATATTTTCATGTTAAAATTATTTCTTCATTACTTTCAAGCTTTTAAGTCATTTAAATGGAGAGCGTTGATTAATTTTTAATCGTATTTATGACAGTTGCTTTGCTATTATCATAATTACTTTTTTCCCCAAGATGATGGTTATGAAAGTACAGGGCTAGATTTTTTAAGAAGGCACATATATCACATCTGCACAAACCCGCATTTACCTTGCAAAATGAATAGCTGTGCATCTCATTACTTTGGATCTACATCTGCCTATTTTTGCGTATGCAAATACGTGTTTGCACATCCAGAATAGGTGACTCTTTAAGTAGGAGCTTGTATAGCAAAGTTCCTTGTCTAAGCAACATTTACAACTTTTTGAGGAATATAGTTCACATAAAACAAGTCCAGTAACTGTTCTTCCCTGCATGAAGGAGACATAGCAGTTGCACCAAAGAAAATGTTATCTTGGTTTGCCTCTTCCTAAGCCTGTCCTAGCCCTCGGGAGCTTAGTTGTAAAGACAGATGGGTTAGTTTGCCGTCTTGGTCAACTTATTCAGAGTCCTTTGAGTTACGGATTTAAAGAACTTCCCAGATTGAGAGCCCTCAGAGAAAACTAAGAGATGGTGACTCCCAGTTCCTTTAAACTGCAGAGTTTCAAACCAAAGTGCAACTTCTGATTTGTAACTGAGCCACAGGAGGAGTAACCGTGCGAGTGCGTGCCTGTAAGAGAGAGAGAGAAAGAGAGGGCTGAGGAAGGGAATTAAAAAGGCTCTTTCTAAGCAGGGGATTCCCAGGCCAGTTGCCATTTATATTCAGTGCTTTAACTCCACTTGCAGAGCCCGAGGCATGCATAGTTTATAGCGGTATCTGGCATACATTCATTGCTGTATTTTGCACAATGCATTTGGATACAGTTTCAGGTGGAGTCAGCGTGTGTAATCCCATGGAGCAGATAGCAGTAGGCTAATCCTGAGGTGGAAAACACCACGTCTGTAATTGTAAGGATATCCAGGCCAGATGGAGATTATTTTTAAAAAACTATTCTTTTGAAAAATCTTGCCTACTGCAAGGAAGATGTTACACTGGTGGATTTTTGTCACTCGTTGTCTTTATGAAAGAAATTAGTCCATAGATTAACACTCTAAACATTTCAGGAAGTAACACATCGTAGTATTCACACAGCAGTGGTGAAGCGTACATTCCCAAAGACATTTCCTATCAGGAGAAACAGTTGAATCGGTATCTGCCTAGTTTTCTTCCTCAGAACTGGAGCTTCTTCGTTTTAAAATACACTTCTTCAGAAAGTCAGCCCTCGAGTCTTGGAATAGGATCAAAAATATTTCCCAAGAATTTGTAGACATAAGAATTACATCTGATTTTGAGAACAGAATAACACTGGGGGGGTAAGCATAATCTTATTACATGTATCGTCAGTGTGTTTTGCCTGTATTTCACTCAGACACTATCATATAAAACACGTGCTTCATTTTGAACAAAAGGTCTAATGCAGTGCTTCCTGTGGTTTTTTTTGGATTGCAGGCAAAGGAGATGCAGCAGATGGTGAAGCTGGAAGCAGAGATGGATCGCAGGCCAGCAACAGTGGTCTAAAGCCTCAACAAGCAAATTGAAGTTGGAGAACACAGCATCGTTAAAAGGAGAGCAAAATTCAAAAAAACATTGATGAGGTTGAAAAGTGGGCTTTTTTCTTTTTTTTTCATTTTTTGTTTGGGCAGGAGGTTGGTTTGGTGGTTTGGTTTATTTTTTTTTTTTTTTAGTATATGAAGTGTAGCTACAGACCACCAAATCTTAAGGTTTGCTTTATTTCTTTTTTGACACTGGGCACTGAATTTCCTTTGTTGGATTTCCATAAGAATTTCCTTTGTTTGGAAAAACACTAATCAGAAGATGAAGACAGTCTTTTACGCAGTCCTGTAGTCCTTTCTGTATCTCAACAGTCAGCTTGTCTGCATTAGAATTACACAATCAGAGCCTTGAAACACAACAGATATTTTTAACGTCATCTCAGATGGTCGAAAAAAACCCCAAAACTGTAGTCCAGTCATGTTACTTACGATTTGTGTTCTCATGTGCGATATATTGTGTAGAAACCCCATGCTGCCAGATCCCGACAAGCAACGACTCGTCAGGTGCTCGGCACCCGATGTCATGGAGCCCACTGAAGTGGATCTTTTGCTAAGTCACTGTAATAATCAGTATAGTAAGGAGTTGAGTTTGGGCAATGTAAAATTAAATTTCAAAGTATTTTTCAGGCAGCAGACAGTAGGCAGTTGAAAGTTAACTGCGTATATTCAAAAGTACGGTATGTACAAAGTCATCAGCCAAATTCATCAACTGTAACAGTAACTTGACAGGATATTTCTGCAGTCCAATGATGTCATTCACAAGTGCCATATCAATTCTGTCATTTCTGGAAGAAGCTGATATCCTGTAAAAGTTACTGCAATGGTTAGTGTGAGGGAAATACAGTGTATTTGTGCCAAAACTGATCAGTGCTCTAAGGAATTATGTATTGGGCACTTTAAGAAAAGTTTACATCCTACATTGCTTGTATAGAAATTGCATTTTGATCCTGTTGCTGCAGATCCCAGAGAATACAGTTCATTGTAACTTAAAGATTGTTTAAATGGCTTTTGGCAAAAAGTTTGTAACTGTGAAAATGTAAAAAGTATTTATACACTTCAGAACCACAGCATTGTAGAAAATCACATACATGTTGCCACGTGATAAAATTAGTAAACAGAAATGCTAAGAGTATGTTTGCATGTGATACAAATGCTACTAAGACTGTAATGTCTACTGTGTGACCACAGTCATTCTGCTAGCTGGTAAATACTGAATAAATGTATGGCACAGAATATTGTTTGATTAATTACAAAGACTTTTAGCATAACAAGGTCTCTATATACATGTGTGTATATTAATTACGTGGGCATTCTTGATACTTGTAGTAAAAGAAAAGTACATAACTAATTTAATTTTACACAAAAGTATTTATGCAGATTTTCAGAATTTCATATCAGGAATAACCTTTTTATGTCCATTAGATATAAAAACAATTTGCTACTGTGTTAATTTGCATGTTTCTAGCGCTTGCTGTAGTTATATTGCAAAACAATGCATGTAAGCATTCCGGTTGGAATTTGTCCATGCTGCCAGTTCAAAGATGACTGCATGGAAAACTGGTAGTTTAGAACAAATCAGATTCCTGATTTCAGTGTACTAAGCACCAATTACTTTGTTGTATATGCTTGTACAAACAAATTCTACATATTCCTATAAACAAAATAAATGAAGAGATAATTATGTTATCGTCGGTCCTGAGATGAAACTTTCAACTTCTCTAATAAAAACCTTAAAAATTCAAAACCTTGAGTTTTGACTGTAGTGAATTGTAGGGTGGTGGTATTATTACTGGCAAGTTTTTAGTAAGTTGTATTTCCTGTAAAAATGTGCATAGTGTAAATATATTTCTATCACAGCGTATTTATTCAAAGGAGTCTTATTTCTTTTAAGTGACAGAGGAGTTGTGCAGCATCGGTTCTCGCAGCACTACAAAACTACCCAAGTACAGTGTAGCAGCGCTGCCTTGAGAAGGCAACGGAGACAGAGGCCAGTGAAGTCTTCAGGTGTTTAGGGCAGGATTTAAACAAACAGAATTCCCATTCTGATGCCACTTCGCCTATGGAGGCAGCTCGTGCTCCTTATGATCCGTAATGTGTTAAAGCCGAGTTGCATACTGGGAGCAGCTCTCTCTGCTCTGTAAGCTTGGCCGGAGTGCTGGAGGGAGCTGGGAGCAGCAGTATTTTACGGAGCATGCCGGACAGGATCTGGCATCTCAAACAAGACAGTGATTTGTTTTTTTTTTAAATTAAAATGTCTTCTGAAACACAGCTGGTGGAGATAGTGCTGTGAGCTGGGATTTTTTACTGTTGCCTACTGTAGTAGTTTCTAGCCAGCAAGGAAAAGCAAATGACAGCCCAGACACGGAGGGAGCCGGACGGTGAAGCACTGAACTTTACTAGTTTTCTAGGCTCACTTACGGCCTGGCTGGAAACCACTGCCCTACCTGTTAAAGAAACAACTGGAAATGGAGGACTTGGGTTCAGCTCACGTCCCTTGCTGAGGAAAATCAAACCTGCCTGTCTTAATTCCCTGGCGAGTACCCTAAATATCAGGGAATACGCTCATTTTGGAAGGCTAGAAGATACTGTCCACGGCCTCCTTTTGAGTCTGTGCTGGCCGCTCAGCCAGGAGCGAGACATTTATCAAGCCAGAGAGAAAATGTGCTTCTGTGAAACCACGGAGCTGCGTAGCCTCAGCTTCCAGGCTCAGCTCCCAGAACTGTTGCGTATTTCATCCATTGACAATTTAGCATAAAATACAGACAGTAATTTGAAATTAAATGATGAATTTTGTCAGAGAAGTATTTTGAAATGCTGTATAAGTAGTATTTGATTCAAAAATTATTTGACGTTTGGCCGCTAATGTAATGAGGTGAGAATTTCCATTGAGATGAAATAGGCTAATCAGTTTGAACACTGATACTAAGTTAAAGCAGTTTAAAATGTCATTCTGTGACGGGGTGATGGATTCCACTTCACTGAAATTTCATCGAGGGAAGTGGCAGATTCTCCCTCTCCGAATCTCTTTAGATACGTTCAGCGTAGCTGTGATAGGGAGGGTCATGACACCCTTGCCTCATGGGCAGCCTGTTATTCTTTCACTCTCAGTAATTTGGGGGTTGGTCATTAACTTGACTGTTTCCAAGTGGGGGGTTCTGTTTAACCCCTGCCCCACTCGACTGCAGTCAAGTTGCACTGCCAGAGACCCAAAATATCCTTTGGGGGCCGATTTCCTCGCAGACTCCATGTGCCATTGCTCACAGGCTGCCTGTGAAATCGGCTGCCAGCGGCAGACGCATCCCAGAGCCGCTTGGCCAGAGAACCCCGCTCCCAGGGAAGTGCCAGCTGCGGTCCCAGCACTGCAGCCCACTGTCACGGTGCCGCGCGCTCCCTGCGAGGAGACTGGTAAACATCATGGCTGTCTGGTAGCTGCTGGGTAACGGGGGGGATTCAGCCTCCAGAGATACACAGGCAGTCTCCGCAAGTGGGGGGTAAGAGCAGGTTGCAGGTGGGGCTCCAGATGATCCAATCTGTGGCCATAAATTGGCCCTGGTTGCAGCATTTCAGGTCAGCTAACGCCGCGCTGGCTTCCTCAGGTAAGACCTTGCTGCTCTGTCAATGTTTTGGGGCTTTCTTGGTGCGAGGAAATCTTAGGCCTCTCCCTTGTTTGCCACGGAGAGCAGGATAAACATGGCTCTGCAGGCTGGAAGTGGGGATTGCCACTGAAGCCGAAGGCTTTTTTGTTGTGATGTGCAGCTGGCGGGCGCTGGGAGAGCACTGGTTCTGCTCTGTGGGGTTCAGGGGGCGGTGGGTCAGGCTTGCCCACATCTCCAGAACAGCTGCTGCCTACACAGGCTGCAGGCTGGGGCAGCTGCCCAAGATCATACGTTCATTTGGGGGCTTGGAAGCTACCTAGAAACCTCAAAAAAATGGGAAATTAAATAGAGGGCTAGGGGAGGCAACAGAGGCTAGGTTAATAATGAGGGCAGCAGCCACAG